TAAACAAACAAAACAAAACACTCATAGAAACAGAGGCCAGAACGGGGGTTTGGGGGTGGAAAAGGTGAAGGGGAATGTAGTCGGTAATAATGTGATAAGGTTACACGGTGACACATGATCAGTAGGATTAGTGGGTGATCACATCGTAAGGTATAAAAATGTTGAATCACTATGTTTACACCTGAAACTAATATAACCAATATAAGGATGTATGCCGACTATATGCTTAAAAAAAATTAAAAAGAAGAGCTCACGCGTCTATACAAAGGATGCACGGTTTGGGAAAATCATTTCTTTTAATGACAGAGAAAGCACACCAAACTAGAACAGAAGCCCGTCAGGAGCTGCCACTGTACCAGTCAATGCCCAGAGGCCCTGATAGCATTAGCCAGTCACCGGGGAGTCCATCGCGGATGAGGGACCATCCACGCGGCATCTCTGAGGACACGCAGGAGGCAGGAGATGGTCACGGGTCACACATGTGCTGTGTGTTTGTCACCGGGACCCCTCTGTAGTACCTTTTCCTTCCTCATGGATGGTTCTAGGGCCTGAGGAGGTTGGCAGATGACCAGGTGGAAGAGAGGCCTTGCGTATGGGCATCACAGAAGTACCAACACCGAAGACAGATGTGGCCCGGCTTCTCCACGGTCACCCCATGGAACGGAGCACGACGCTGGTCCTCTGAACAGCGGCTCAGGGAGCAGGTACGATGGACGAACAGCAGCTCCTTTGAAATTCAGGGTCTGCGCACGGCTTCTCAAAGGCATGCTAGGAAATAGGTTTGTCAACGCAACTTGGCCATCCCAAGGGGGTAAAGTCATTCTCCTAGTTTTCACTGCATGTAGCTAGGTTTCAAATGAAAGGACAAGAACAAAGGCAGCAACTCAAAAATTATTTGGAATATTGTGGCACTTCACCCATCTCTGTTGCTTAGAATATATGGCAGAGCAAATGGAACCCTGTTGATATAAACTTTCATTATAGATAACCCTATACTGTACACTCTCCAAATACAGAAAGAAGCCATCCTATCATATAGGTTTCATCTTGAAAAATAATCTAACATAGTCATAGGCTCTGGCTAGTAACAAACTATTAACATCTTCTGAGAATACAGAGAAAACTCTGGAATTACTAGTAAATTCTCTGACGTGCTCTCCCCCTCCCCCCCATTCAGCATCATCTATGAACACATGTCTGCAAAAGCATCCCAGAATCATTCATAATTAGGAAAAGAAATGGACATGTCATTTCATCCAATGGACTTTTAGCAGGAAGTGATGGAATATTTGTGTGTGTTTTTTTAACCTTGGCAAAAATGAAGCACAAACATAACATTTCACAGGTGCGGCCCATGCAAATGCATGTTTTCTTAGGCGGGGCTATTTCAATCTCACCCCGAAACCACAACTAGCATGCAGGCTGTTTTCGACTACTGAGTGAGAGAGAGCTATTGGCAGTGCACCTCTTCTGTGTCACCGTGATCACTAAGGCAGGAGTATGATTTCACCTTGGATAGAATATCAGCAAGATCTTGTCAGATGCGGGCTTATACAGTGTGGACCTGTGTCTTACTGTTGTTGTTGTTTTTTAAAGAAAAAAAAAAATCTCAAAACACAGATCCCTAAACACAATTCAGTTGAAAATGAACTGTTATGCTTTTAGAAATATATTTTAAACTACAGGCTGCCCTGTGTGTGTGTGTGTGTGTGTGCGCGTGCGTGTGTGTTTTAATGAACATTTTAAAAAGTCCCCACCCCTAAAAATTTGTCAAAGTATTTCTTCGCCATTGGTGACAGTCTCACCAATCTGCGATCAGGGTTGACTCTTGCTGAGCTGTGGCTGCTGCGGTCCTCGGTGGGTAACTCTCTGCAGTTAGGTGTTCCAGCTGCCCACCTGGAACCCAGACGACCTGTGGTTCCCAGTCCGTCCTTCTGACAGTGGTCCCCACAATAGATGCTCAGAGACCCAGCGGTGCCTTCGGATGGGGTTAGCTTGGCGGCCCCGTGTTGGCTTTCAAGCTCTGGACCCAGCTGCGCTCTGCTCTGCAGACCAATGGGATGTC